ATTAATAGTCAATTCACACCCGAAAGAGTCCTACAACAATAAGCAAGAAAACTCTATAGGAAATAAGACATCATACATCAGACAGTTCTATCATGTAATTCCTAAAGATCCCTATCCTACAACTAGAATGTTGTTCTACCATATCATAAAAAATAACAGTGTGGGTAACTTGGGGTATACTTTCTTGCTCTGGATGATCATACACATCGCATCCTTCCTTGGTTATTTTAAAAACAATTTTGAAAACCATTTAAAAACTTTTGGAGTTCCCTAGTTTGAGTCTGGATTCACACGAATGTTCATCCAATTCTCTCAAACCAAGGCTCTGATACCAACTTGTAACACTCCAAAAATCAAAAAAATTTAAAATTTTCAAAATCAACCATTAACCAACATTGTTTACAAAAAGAGTCATTGTTTCAAAAGCATTATTTCAAAATCAGAGTTTCCCCAAGACCTAGTGACATAAAACCGGAAGATGTGCACGATCACGCCTTTACTTTCCCACGATCCTCAAAAGTACCTAAAAGGATAAACTACAAATTGTAAGTCAAAGCTTAGTGAGTTCCTCCAAAGTACCAGCACACCATATAGCAAACAAGCATACAAATATGAGCAACCATCCTGACTGGACCGCCTCGCATGGCCTACAACCTATCCGGACTGCTCTACGGGTCGTCGGCTTGACTGGACCGTCTCGCAGGGTCTACAACCTATCCGATCGTCCTCAGGTGTCTTAGCCTACAACACAAAGCAGGACCGCCTCAACCCAACACAATATGTCGACATATGCAATAGATAAACATAAACATATAACCAACAAATACATGTAATCATACGGATCTATTGAACAACTACAAACTATCATAACACTATCCCTTCCTCTTGGTGTGGAAACCCATTATTTCATGGTATCAGGCCAAAAACCCCTCCCTTCCTCTCCCTCTTCTTAGCCGATCATTCTCCTCTCTTCTTCTCCTATCTTTCAGTTTTTTCTTGTCACCATCACAACTTCATCCATGGCTGGATCCTCCACTGATGCTACTCTATCCATGAACACTTTCCTTCACCTCATTATCATCCGCCTCTCCTCTAACAATTATCTCTTGTGGGTGAACCAAATGACTCTCCTCCTTAACTATCAACAACTCCTTGCTCACGTTGATGGCTCCTTTGCAGCCCCTCCTTCACACCTTCTGGTTGACAACAAGCAAGTTGAGAACCCCGCTTTTGCGGAATGGCATGCTGAGGATCAACGGGCAGTCATCATTCTTCAAGCCTCTCTCACGGAAGAAGCATTTTCTGAGGTCGTGGGCCTCTCTTCCGCTCGTGATATATGGACCGCTCTTGAATCCGCCTATGGGAACTCTTCTATGGAACGTGTACAAAATCTTCGTGATCAACTACGGCTTCTCTCTAAAGGCACCTCCACCGTCTCCGAATATGGCGGAAATTTAAGGCGATTTGTGATCAACTTGCGGCTATCGGCCAAGCTGTTACCGAATCTGATAAAAATCATTGGTTCCTATGTGGTCTTGGCAGCGATTTTCAAGTCTTCTCCATTGGGGTTCGGACCTCTCGCCTCTCTCCAACTTTTCGGGACCTCCTTGCTCAAGCCGAAAGTCATGAGCTTTTCATGAAATCCCTCCACGCCAACTCCACACCTGCCGTCGCTTTCTCTGTTGAATCAGCGCCCATTGGGGCTGCTGCCTCTGCCTCTGCTGGTCGGGGTCGGGGTGGTGACTCCGGTGGTCGTGGTGGTCCTCGCGGTGGTCGTGGTCGTGGCCGGCGGTCACCCCACTGCTAACTATGCCGACAAAACGGTCATTTTGCTAATGCTTGTCCACAACTTCCGACCTTTGCTTCTAAGTCTGCCCCTAGTGAAGCCGATTTAGCAAAAGCTTTCCTTGCAAATTGTCGTGTGACCCCATCCGGCCCGGATTGGTATGTTGATTCCGGTGCCTCGGATCACATGGTTTCTTCTTCGGGCTCGGTTGCTAAACCCGAACCTTTTGTTGGTGATGGCTCGGTTCACTTCGGTAATGGTAATACTCTTCCCATTGTTGCTATTGGGACTTCCTCTCTTCCCACTGATATTCGGTTGCGGGATGTTTTAGTGGTTCCCCGTCTTACTAAAAATTTATTGTCTATTAGCAAGTTAACATATGATAATAACGTGGATATGCTTTTCTCCAAATCTTTGTTTTCCATTCAGGATCGGGCAATGAAACAAATTCTGGCTCAAGGAACGTGTGATCGGGGGCTTTATGTTCTTCCAAATAAGCCAATGGCTTGTGCGTTTTATGCTAAGAAGCGACCCAAGGCGTCTTTTGAATTATGGCACTCCCGTTTAGGGCATGTGTCTTTTGATGTTATTTCTATATTAAATAAACTTGGTCATGTGTTTGTTTCTTCTATTTTACCTAAACCGGTTACTTGTTCTCCTTGCCAACTTGCTAAGTCTCATCGGTTGCCTTTTGACAATAATGACCAACGTGCCGCCCATGTTTTAGATTTGATCCATTGTGATCTTTGGGGTCCTTCCCCGATTGATTCGGTTGCTTCATACCGATATTATGTCACATTTGTGGACGATTTCTCTCGCTTTACATGGCTTTACCCGCTCAAGTCTAAATCGGATTTTTTAGCATTTTCGAGTTATTTATCACCTTTGTAGAGACTCAATTCTCTACCAAAATCAAAAAATTTCAAAGTGACGGGGGTACGAAATTTCTAAATAACAAAGTAAAGGCGTTATTGCATAAACATGGTATATTTCACCGCATCTCATGCCCGGATACCCCCCAACAAAATGGGCGGGTTGAACGCAAACATCGTCACGTTGTGGAGACGGGACTCGCCATGATGTTTCATGCTCACATTCCAGTTTCTTATTGGGTTCATGCTTTTAGCTCTGCTGTGCATGTTATTAATCGTCTCCCCACAAAGGTGTTGTCCATGAAATCACCATTTGAGGTCTTGTTCGGACGGGTGCCATCTTATGAGAATTTTCGCATTTTTGGGTGTCGCGTCTATCCGTATTTGTGTGACTATGAGTGTCTAGATCTATAAGAAAATATGATCAAGCTAGGAGCTTTTTACCTCATGAAGGTTGCTAGCAAGGTAAGAATCCCAGATCCAAACTTCCTTCAAGCTCCAAAGTCCTACCACCTTCTTCTTCTTCTTCTTCTTCTTATTCTTCTTCGAGAACACCACCAAAACACACAAGTGAGCTCGCACTCTTCACACTTAAGGTTAGCTAGAGGGACGATTTTTAGATGGAGATTGATGAAGGTGAAGGTCTTGGGGCCATAAAGGGGATTATATAGGGTGTAAACCCTCAAAACTAGGGTTTTGATCTGAACAGGGTACGCGCGGCGTACCTGCTGAGTACGCCCAACGTACGCGCGCGATTCCCGCTTTTCTCATGCATGAGTACGCCATGCGCACACTCCAAGTACACACGGCGTACGGACCAAAAAGGCAAACTTAACATATTTAGGGTTAAAAACGAACCTTCTCGGGACGGGTGTTACAATATTATTTCGCTACCTTTTTTATGTGTATTTGATGCTAATAAAACCCAACAACATTAAAACTTTTATGTATTTTGTTACTTCTTACCTATTTATATTATATTTTTATGTGCTAACCTTTTATGATACAAAATAGGTTCATAAAGAGGCAGGAAAATGAAGAAATAAGATATTTCCTCATTTCGACGATTTATGTATCCTTTTTGGAAATGATAGAGCTCAAGGGAATAAAGGCAAAGATTTTGTCCAAACGGAAGAAGATGCAAACAATGAAATACAATCCAAACAAATAAAAGACGGTTTTAAAGAACAAACCATAGAAAATGAAAAATCTCTAAACGCATGCTCAAAAAAGAGAAAAAATAGTGTTGATTTTGTTATTAAAGGAATAACTATTGCATCTAACGTCATTGGAGAAAAACTTGAAAAAAAAAACAACGAATAGCATGAATCAAGCAATTCTAGGAGAAACAATAGTACCAAAAAAAAAAAAAAAAAAAAAAACAACAACAACACTTCTATGGTAATTCATGAAATTTCAAAAATGTTGTCATTTAGTGTCTTGGATAGGCTCAAAGCAAGTAGGAAAATAATACGTGATTCGGAAACCGTGTTAAGTTTTTGGAATTTAGAAGGAGAAAACCGTGAGGATCAGTGGCGTAGTTAGGATTTTGTTTTACGGTAGGCCAAACAATTTACAAAATATAAACGAGTAGCAAAATAATTCAAAAACTTGCAACCACAATTCTGTAAAAATTGTCTAACATTAAAAATAAATTAGTTAATTGATTAATTTAGAAATAGAAAAATAAAATAACGAATCTGATGAACAATGATTTGATCTATTCAAAAACTTGCAACCTCAATTCTTTAATCAACATGCCGCTGCAAAAAAATACTCTCTTCATACATAATTTGAAGTTTTTAATGGATAGCTCGTGTGTGTATGTGTGTGTATATATATATATATATATATATATATATATATATATATATATATAACAAAATTAATTTTTCAATTCGTTTGAGCAAACCAAACAAAAAACAAATTATGTTCCATGTCAACCACTCCCTTTCAAAAACATTTTGCGAACCAAACGCAAGCCTAGAGTTTGACCCAAAAATGTTCGAAAAAATAGAATTTACCTGCTTGTTTAAAGCAAAAAGACTCTTTTTGTTTGTTTAGTGGAATCATAAGCCAAAACCGCCTGTAACCACATAAAACAATGATTGTTATGATAAATTGGCAAACCTTAAAATATTAAGATAAAAATTGAGATTCCTCACCAAGGCATTATAACTTTTCCTCATGCCTCACTTTTTTAGGATATACCTCCTCTAATAAAAAAAAATTAGCCGCCCACTTAAGTCAATAAATAAGACACATTAATTCGAATAAATACAAAAACAACTCTTTTCTTAATCTCATCTAATTACCTGAAATTTTGCAACATATTTTCAGTATCACCTAAATCTTGCAGATATTAACTTGTACATCATGTGCTTGTCTTGGAAACTTCTTCCAAATGAATCTGCACAATGATGTGATTCCATATTATTAAACAAAAAACATTTTTGCAGTAACAATTTATATATCACTCATGCAACATGATATGCCACGAAGTCCCAATGCTCTTATGAGAATTTACCTAATGAAAACAAGTTGATATGAAATGACGATAATGCCCCCAATACAATAAACATCACCTAACAATCTTTGGGTATGCATATGACAATTCTTGTTTTCGGTTCACGTTATGGAAACAATGATTAAGTCACCAATAATCTCCACAAGAACACTCACCATTTTCAAATTTATGAAACCTATTAGCATCTCTAACTAAAAACACTTTGGTTAATATCTTCGACAACCCCTTTATAAACTCGTGACAATCCCCACAAACCCTCAAGTTTTTAAAAATCCGGATACAACTCCTATCCTTTTCAATCCCATCATTATGAACCAAAAAAAGCCCGATAGCCAACTTCTCACTATGAACCCTCAAACTCTCCTCCCTTGATTCCTCCTCCACATCATGCAATGAAAACCTAACTTCATAAGCAAATTGCACTTCCTCCTTCAATCTCTTTTCAATTTCCTTCAACTTTTCATGGATTCTTGATGTCAATGGATGCCTCTCATCTCCATTGTAGAAAAAGTGAATCGATTTATCAATCTCCACCCAACTTTGACCACCTACTTTATTTAACCCCTTCGCTTTGACCGACTTTCTAACCTTTTCACTCTCTTTCCATAAACCTGCATTGGCATAGATGCTTGACATCATGACATAGTTTACAGCACTTACATCATCCATTTTCATAAGAATTTCACCAACTTCACGTCCCATTTCCAAATCTTTGTGTAGTTTACAAGCACTAAGCAATGTCTGCCAGATACCTGAAATTGGCTTCATGGGCATGTTCTTGATAAGATTTCTTGCTTCTTTTAAACGACCAGACCTACCAAGAAGATCAACCATGCAAGCATAATGCTCCACATTCGGTTTGATTGTGGGGTCCTTGAGTAATCTTGAAAAGTATTGTTGACTTTTCTCAACTAAACCAGAGTGGCTACAAGACGAGAGTATGGCCAAGTAAGTTACTCCATCAGGTGAAATGTTTTCTGATTTCATGTTCTCAAAGATGTTAATCGCTTGTTCACCAAGACCATGTTTTCCATATCCTGTTATCATGATTGTCCAAGATACCACGTTTCTCTTGGGCATTTCTTCAAACACCTTATCTGCATCTTCTATTACACCACACTTCAGATACATATCTATCACTGAATTTGCCACAGAGATGTCTAGACCGAATGGGACTTTGGTTATGTATGTGTGCATTTGCTTACCTTGTTCAAGAAGAGCAAAATCAGCAAACACTGCCATCACACTGGAAAGAACAAACCCATCAACAGGAAAGCTGCTTTTTCTAAGTGCATTATATGACTCCATAGCTTTTGACAAGTTTCCTTCTTGAGCATAGCCTACAACTAGCGTTGTCCAGGAGATGACACTCTTTCTTTCAACTTGATCAAACACCTTCTGTGCATCACGTAAAGACCCACATTTTGCATACAAATCAATAAGTGAACCTGCAACGATTGTTTGTTGTGACAAAAGAAAACCCATTGAAATTAGAAACCCGTGGATTTGCCTCCCGGCATCCAATTCTCCAAGACCAGCACAAGCTTTCAAAGTGCTTGTGAAAGTAAACCCATCGGGGGTTTTTCCTTGTATCTGCATCTCCTTGAATAAATCCAAGGATTTGTCACCCATGTGTCCGACTGCATATCCTGATATCATTGCATTCCAAGTTATCAGACTTCTCTCAGGCACTTCATCGAACACCTGAAATGCAGCCTCGATTCTCCCACATTTTGAATACATGTCTATCAAAGAATTTCCCACCACTGGGAACCATTCAAAGCCCGTTTTACAGCACCAGCCATGAACCTGCATCCCATTCTCAGGAACACCTACGAATCCACAAGCTTTAAAGTTCGTAGAAAATGTGAACTCATTCGGTTTAACCATGGAACTTCCCATTCGACATAAGAGTAATAATGAGCTTTTGGCATTGCCTTGATTTAGGTACCCGCACATAAGAGACGTCCAAGAAACAACGTTTCTTTGAGGCATTCTATCAAACACTTTGCATGCTATCTCGACCCTGCCACATTTTCCATACATATCTATAAGGTCATTGTTTATCATCATATCAAACCCATAACCCAATTTCACAACTGTAGTATGAACCTGCAATCCTTGATCTAAAAACAAATTCTTTGAGCAAACCCTCAAGAGCTGAGCAAACCGTTGCCTCTCGCTCATCATGAGAATCCTTTATTGAACCTTCTTCCCAAGCATCACAATTTCACGCTTGATATGATAATAGTGTCTGTAAAGTCTTGGCTCATGTCGTTGTTCAACTATTTTCTGTCACTTGTCATCTTTTAAGCATTTTTCCACATGTATTTTTTTATAATTTAGGTCGCATTATAACAAATATTGATTCCTAATTTATAAAGAATAATTTTTAGGAATCATCGAGGTAATTTTATATGATTTTAAGTTAATTTTTTTTTAAAATAAGATGATTGGTCGGTAGGGTAAATAATCCTAACAAATATTGGTTCATGTGGTTGTTCAACAATTAGGCTTGAAGATATTCCGATAAACATACTTCGTGTTGAAAATGTTGTTGGCTAGGAAGAACATAACCAATATGTTGAATTATCACCATTTTCTATTAGTATTTTACATTAACATAACCAAAACATCGTCCGCACTCAACGGGAATACGAAATAAAACAGACATTAGAGAAGAAAGAAAAGCAAACCTATCTGGATTTTTGTAAGCAAAGTGGTTATAAATGGAAAAAATCGTCTAAGCTAAGTAAATGAATACATAATTAAAAAAACGGAAGACTTAAAAAAAGTATATAATTTTGAAACTACACCTATTTGGTAAATATTTTTGAAACTACATGGTAATATAATACTAATAGAAAATGGTGATAAATCAACATATTGGTTATGTTTTTCCTGGCCAACAACATTTTCAACATAAAGTATTGTTTACACTTTACCGTGCAAGAAAATGAGCCACCCAAGTACTTCGGCTCCTCAAAAGTCGACAATTATGAAACCATCGTTGTCTATTTTAAAACCCACATTGTTACTTGACGCATCTACACTTAAACATGGGAAAATACCTGCAATAGTCAAAAAATGGGGAGTATTTCCAAAATATAGACACAAAAATTGACATTTCCGGATATAGACATGCATTCCGCGGAGGTAGCTCCGCGGAATCAACTGTAGCTCCGCGGTATGGATCTTCATTTTTTTTTTCACAACGATTGTTCGGGGTTTATATTAATTCTCCAACTAATTATTTTCAAGAAAAGATTATCATACTATGATAATCTTTTCTTGAAAATAATTAGTTGGAGAATTAATATAAACCCCGAACAATCGTTGTGAAAAAAAAAATGAAGATCCATACCGCGGAGCTACAGTTGATTCCGCGGAGCTACCTCCGCGGAATGCATGTCTATATCCGGAAATGTCCATTTTTGTGTCTATATTTTGAAAATACCCCCCATTTTTTGACTATTGCCGGTATTTTCCCCTTAAACATGGGTACATTGCTGAAATTATAATAGTTAAAAAAACTGAAAATTTTAGAAAAACATAAAATTTTGAAACTACACCTACTTGATAAATATTTTTAAAACTATACTTATTTGATAAATATTTTTATGAAAAATACCATTTTGGTCAAAAACTTCTTCTTCAAGCTGCCGATTTCTAAAACGATGTCGTTATTGGAAGTTAAATAAGCTTTTTATATTTCTTACTCTGTGAACATATGGCTCTATCCTAGTGGTAGAATCTACTTTTATATTGACGGTGAGAATGAACATACAGAGAAAATCACGCGACGAACTCTCTTTTTTGATGAAATAGAAAACCGCCAGAAGAGCGTTTATCTTGCTGATACTAACTTACCTTAATTTTTCCATTGATTCAAGCTTGTGTTTGAGTGGTATGAACTTTACAAAAAAAATAGTATTGAAGAAATGGTGCAAGAAATGTTGGATAGTAAGGTGACTAGACCTGGTAATAGTGAGTTTGCGTCTCATGTAGTGTTTGTTAAAAAGAAATATAGAAGTTGGAGGTTTTGTGTGGACTATAGGAGGCTTAATCACTTCACTATAAGGAACCAATTCCCTTAGGTACAAGAGTTGATTGATGAGTTGCATAAAGCATATCGCTTTTCCAAGCTAGAAACTAACATAGGAAATATAGCTTTTAGAACTCATGATTGATAATACGAGTTCGCGGTTGATGTCGTTTGGACTAATAAATGCCTCGGCGAAATTTCAAAACCTAATGAATTCGGTTTTTAAACCATTCCTTAAGATATTTGTTATATCATTCTTTGACGATATTCTAGTTCATAGTAAAAGTTGGAGCGACCATTGTAAGATTTTAAAGGATGCCTTAGGGGTATTGAAATCACACACCTTATTTACTAAATTATCCAAATGCAATTTTGCTAGTAAACACGTCGAATATATGGGTCATCTAAGAGGGTGTTACAGCCATGAAATTTCCAAACTTATTATGGGAAGCAATGGATTTTATATAAGGGTTTCCCAAATCAACGGGTTTTAGGATCATCTTGATGGTAGTAGACAATCTAAGCAAATATGGTCACTTTATGGGTTTAAAACATCCTTATGGTGCCTTTGTCATAGCTTAAAGCTTCCTGGACAATGTGTCAAAAACTGTATGAGTTTCCTGCCAAAATAATTTCCAACAGAGACCCTGTCTTCTTAAGCAATTTTTGGAAAGAGCTTTGTAAAGCCTATCATATAACCTTCACATTCACCACATCTTATCACCCACAATCTCACGGCTAACTAATGTTGTGAATCGTTGTTTAGAGACGTGTCTACATTATTTTTCTCTTGATGCTCCTACTAGTTAAGCTAAGTGGCTTCCTTTAGCGCAATATCAGTGCAATTTCACTCATCACTCCAGCCTTGGGATGTCCCCTTAGCGGACACTTTTTGGACAATCTCCCCTAACTACATCCACTACCATCCAAAAGATTCTTCAAACCAATAAGTTGATTCACCGTTGAAAGCAAAGAGAAATAACCATCCAACTTCTAAAATCAAATTTAGCCACAGCCACAACAAAACGAACGAAAGCGGAAAAGCATAAAAATGAACGAGTTTTTGAAGTAGGTAAATAGGTTTATTTAAAAATATAGTCATATAGGCAATAATCGGCTCTGCTAGGTACTATGGACCATACAAGATCCTAGCATGGATCCGATAAGTAGCTTTAAATAGACCCGTTCACATAACCCTACTCTCACCCATAATTTTACCCATGATTTACAAAGTGAACATGTCATCATCATCTCTCCCACACCACCCACCCACCTAACCCTACTCCCACCAACACTGTCTACCCACTGCTACATACCTAACCCTACTCCCACTCACACTACCTACACACTGCTACATACATAACCCTACTTCCACCCACACTACCTACCCAGTGTTATACACCCACACACACGCTTATGCTCACGCCCGCCTCCATTCCTACATATCCACCCCACCTTTATCCTCATCCACCCAAAACCTACGCCCACACCACTCCATACCCACAACCACACACATATACTTACCCTCACTCACCATACCCTACCACATCCCCATACCCACACCTACATACACACGTCTACACACTACACCACCCTCAACCACACCCATACCCACATGCTTATGCCAATATCCATATGCTTATGACAATACCAATGCCAACCCTTAGCCCACACCTACACCCACATCTATACCCATGCCTACACGTATACATATATATGTTTTTTATTTTTTTTTTAACTCTTTGAATTTGCATCCAACTACTTATTAAGTCCTCAGATCTAGCCTAAAAGCAAGATATCTATTAATTGTTATTAATTGTTTTTATCAAGTACAATTATATATATTTGTTTTGTAAAGCTATTTTTTTACTATATATATATATATATATATATATATATATATATATATATATATATATATATATATAGTGTGTGTGCAAATTCAATAAAAACGTTGATTTGAACGGATAAGAGATTAATAAATGAAAATTTTTAATGAAATCTTTTTTATTTTATAATAATAAGTTACAAAAATCAATAAAAATAGTATTTTGGTCACATACTCACATTATATAATTTACTTTCCAATTTCTTTAACAAATATGCAAACGAAGTAGAAAAACGAATTTCATTACATGTCAACCAAATGCATAATTGATTTCAGTTCGTTGAGATTCCAATTTTTCATATTTTAATTACAATTTCTTTAACAATCTGTACCAAATGTTCTATGCTGTGAAGTTTTCTAATGCATGAGTTCTGTTTGATGTATTCTTTTATATGTTGAAAATCCATATGCTTAGTGGTTCGGGTTGTAACAAAACTTTCGTAGATGCTTTATCTTTCGTTAAAGAGCTATTTGCATGCTGATATGTTATCGTTCATTCAAACTTGATGATTTTGACGTCAGTTTGTCTTCTAAAATGCATGATTTTTATTTGTTGATTTTAAATAAATTATAAATTATAATAACGTCAATATTATTCTTGGTATATGATGAATGTATAAATCTGTAACCTCTCATTAAACTATATCTTGTATATTAATATAAAATCGGAGATTAATCATTGTTGCGGGTTTAGAGAAAAATATGGTTCTAGCGTCTAGTGTCTACCAGCGAATGTAAGGATTTTCTTGAAAGAAAAGTTTGTTAAAAAGAACAGGTCTAGAAACTATAACACTACATTTAATCATCATCCGACAAACAAACTAGGTCACCATCGCCACATTTACCAAATACCTCAGATGGAGATGGAGATGGAGATGGAGATGGCATCGGCAACACATTATCTTTCTGATGAAAACCAGCTTCTTTATCAACATCCATAAGCAAATTCATAAAACCACCTGATGATGATGGTGATGATGAGCTATAAAGACCAGTGTGACTTACGGATACCGATGGCATAGGTGGCAGTGAGGATGATAATGTGGCAGGTGGATGCTGCTCAGATGGTGGAGGTGGTGCTACTGGCTGTGGCTGAGCAGGGTGGCTGTTATGGTTTGTTGGCATTTGTAATGATGGTGCTGCTGGCACTGGTTGAGTAGGGTGGCTGCTGGTATGATTTGTTGGTGTTTGTGATGGTGGTGCAAGTGGTGGTTTAGACGGAGTATGAGAAAAAGTGGTGGAGGATGGCGGCAGGCTGCTGGATCCATGCTGACCTAACATCACCCTCTGCTCTGTTGAAGGCTTAAAAGGTCGAATATGTGGGGCCGGAGCACGGATTTCACCAGTTACTCGTGTGTTTCTGATAGAAGGGGTGGTGGAGGTTATATTAGGTGGTGGTTTGTTTGGTGTGTTTAAAGGGAGGCTCATTTGTGGTGGTCTAGTTGGTGGTGTGCTTGAAGGGTGGTTCATGTTTGGTGGTAGTCTGGTAGCGGGGCTGTTGGTAGGTGGTGGTATGGTGGTGCTGATGTTAGATGGTGGTGGGGTGATTGGGTTGGGGTAAGATTGTGGTCTGGTAGGTGTGTGTGAGAAAAGATTTGCAGACTGATGAACAATATGGGGTGTTTGGTGCAGCTTGTTGCTTCCGGAAGATTGACCTGGTGAAGAGAAATGTTGACCATGAAATTGATGCAGATGCTGCATTTCTCCTGTTTGAAAAACTGCAGGTCATACATATAATATGGATGGTGACAACTAAAAACAAATCATTTTGACAAGTATAAATACTAAATAGAGACAGATAAATCAATCTATCAACAACAAGTCAAGAAAGAAGACCTACTTTGTATTTGGGAATGGTCAAAAGGGTTGAGATCTCTGCATTTTGACCTGAAAGCGTCGGCCAATATTTTATTCCTTACCACTTTATTAAGATTGATATCAATTTCATTCTTTTTTGTGTGAAACGCCAGCTCAGCTTTATGAGATTTATCATCATATTTACGATTAAGCCGAGCAAGAATTTCTGCTCTTTCCTTCTCATACTCAGCTTTTAGCTTCACCTTCTGCACAAACACAAAAACAGACACCAACAAGCATTAAATATTAATTACTACACACACCAAAAAAAAAGTTTATAAAAAGTTAAGTAAAGTAAGGTAGTCAAACGGGATAGATAATACTCACAATCGCTTCATAAAAATTGTTAACAGTATTCTTCAGTTCACTTAATTTTTCCAACTCAGCTTGAAGTGGATCAGTAGAAGATGGCAGCATTCGTGTGGGCCCGAGCCCACGGTTATGACTTTCAAATTCTAGAAGATGATTAAACAGGTTTGGCCAAGATTGTGTAGCAGTGTGATTTGGGTCATCTGCAGTAGTCTCTAAAACTTGAGGAGGTGCTTCATTATGCTGTTGTTCAGCCTCTGAAATAATCTGATTCTGATCATCATCAACTTTTTCAGCATCCTTTTTAGTTTGCAGATTATCTTGATTTGGAGAAACTAAAGGCTGAACTGGAGCAGGAGGTGCTACTTTCTGCTGTGATGCAGGTGCAGGAGGTGAGTGTGGGTGTGAGTTACTATTATTATTATTGGAGTCGTGAGAATCGTTCTGATCTTCTGGAACATCTGACATGTCAGGACTGATAGTCACATATTCATCTTCTGGGCTGCCTCGAATCTCCTCTACTTTTACGACATGTGGGTTATTAATTTCATTACTTTTCTTTTGGTTGTGTGTGTGAATTAAAAACATCTCTTTTGCTTGTTCCAGTTTCAAGTACACTGAGTTTGTTTCCTCTTCTTCACAAGTGAAATTTAAGCGCTTCCTCACAACAGAAAGGCTTTGTTTCCTATCAACCTTCTTCTTTAACAATGCACAACCAATCCAACACTGCAACAAAAAACAAAATTTAATAAATTATACCAGTTAGTAAAAAAATTTAAGATTCGAAAAGAACAGACCAGAGATATTAAGAACGCCTGCACTGTATTTGCAGGTTCCTTGTTCACTTGATAATTCTCAATAACATATTCAAGAAATCTTTCCACCATTTTCTTCACTTCCTCCTGTACATGTTTACATTTGGAAATAACAAGATATATACAACTATTATTATTCAGTAGTATTGATATAAACTGTATGAAAAAAAATAATAAGCCAAGAAACATACCGAGAGCTTCAGGACTCGACATAGTTCAGATATGTTGAGCTTCAGAAGGTGTCGAAAGCTTGTTTCATCACATGAAAAGCTATCACCAGGGGACAGTTGTGACCCATCACTGGAAATAACTGTAGAAAGTATACATGAAAATCTTAAATTCAGAAAACACAATTATAGTAATATGAATATCACTGATTTATTATTTACCTGTACACCCTTCTTTAATTTCACCTTTTTCTGTTACAGGTGTAGTCTTTTTACGTTTGCGTCCAACATCATCACTGCTAGCATTTGTTTTCTCAATTGACTCATAAAACTGTGGTCTTTTCCTTTGCCTTGGAGTTGAAGTAGTCAAATACTTCCAGCATGGATCCCTTCCTGCCAACAATTTTTTCCAAAATGTATGCGGTTGTTCGCCATCTGGCAACTCATTTGGCATTGGGAGATTTTCTCTACTTTGTTGAACTCTTGTAATTATTAACTTGGCTGGATAATGTTTGTCAGAATTCAAGTTTAAAAACTCCACCATCAGTTCATTCAAAAAGCAGTCTTCAGATGATGTATTTGCATGGTGAAACTCGGTTAGTTTGCTGAAAAGATATGTAGCACCCCACATGAGTAATGCATCACATGTGTTCCTACTTAGACTCTGTAATCCTTTATCAATAGTTGCATTGTGCTCTGAAAGTTTGAGAATTTTCTCTTCTAGTGTCCATGAAGTATATAACCGGAAAATCTTGATTTGTTCTTGATGTGAATCGATTGCTATCTTCTGTAATGCTCTTAAATCATTTGCAGGATTCCACTCACTGTCGAATATGATTACAGTGTCTACTGATGATAATTTTATGCTTGGAAGACACGCGCGATAATCTAGTAAAAAGATGAATCTACCCATTTCTTTATTGTTGAAGTTATTTAAAGCAGCATGTCTCTTTGAAGGGGTAGTTATAACTGCATCAACACGCTCATAGGAGTCTTCACCAAATCTTTGACGAACAAAATCGTCCAATATGTCTCCAATAGAAGTTGAATCTTTTCCAGAACCACTTAAAGGCTGTAAAAAAGAGAAATTTATATCTCACCCTTTAAAGAAAATGGCATAAACAGATTGAATAAAACATACCTGAAAAAGAATAAGTACTCTGAGTTCACGTTTTCTCATCTCGGGAAGTATGAGGTCAAGAAACTGTAGTTTGCCACTTGCTTTTATGCCAACTTCTAGAAACTTTGCAGGCTCAAGATCCTTTGTAAGGGCACCTTGAAGAGATTGGTCAACAATGTAGGGGTGATCACAACACTACAAAAGGAAACATAAGATCAACCAAAGAAATGAAAATGTGCATTATGCATTGTGCTATTTGGTGATTAAATCTTCAAAACCTTGCGATTAGAAACAAGAATGTCATGAAGAGCACCAACAGTATCACTTTTTGAACATGAACTAAGAGCCATGGCATTTGTAAGTAGCATAGAGCAATACTGTTCAAGCTGCACATTGGATATCTGAACAGGAACCCAAAATTCTTTAATATCTGTGCTAACATCAGGATCTGTCTTTTTTGAAGATGATGAGCCTTTGCCACTATTTGGTGTCACAGTCACACTGCCATTTTCAATAGACTCACCATGAATGGATTTTTTTGAAGGGGACCCAACATGTTCTGCTTCTACTTGTTCTAAATCCACAAATCTGTCATTTGATATATCTTTTACAGCATCAATGGGGTCTCCTTCAACTGTTTTGCTATTTGGTGATTCTTCTACTTCAATGGGATCATTTATTTCTTCTACACTAAAGTTTGTAAGACTAGAATTTGACGTGCTGCATTGCGCTTCAGAGGCTTTCTGAGCAGATTCTTCCCCTGTTCTATCACTGCATTCTTCAACTTCATCATCACCTTTATTTTCCACAGACTTGGAGCCACTATTTTCGTTTTTGCTATTATCCACATCTATGTTCCAAAATAAATTGAACACGTGATAATCTACTAATTTTAAGCAACTGTTGCAAGAAATGACAATAAAAATATCACAATTTTAGAAACACTTGGTAAGAAGTTGTACCTCTGTTGCTGCTGGAAGTAGCTTGAGATGACTCATCTTGACTTTCTTTATCATTATCATTACCTACACGGCAACAAACAAGAGTGTTCATAACATAGATGTTCATTTGCCAAAAGAAACTGCAGATAAGTTTCAACAAAGATACTAGTTACATAATGAATGCTAAACTAGAACTGAAGATAGATAAAATAAGGCAAACTATATAAGTTCACCCACTTGCTTCAGTTCTTCTTCGTGAAGATCTAGATAAAGCCTTATCAACAGAACTGGTGGCTGCTCTCTTCCTTTTCCTACCACCAACATCCAAACTCTGCTTTTCTTGTCTCTTATCTTCTTTAGAGTCCATCTTCAAATTCCTTTTAACTTTTTCATTCTTTGACTTCATACTTGATGAAGTAGGCTCTTCAACAAGCTTCTTTGTTCCCGAAGAACCTACAGAGGTGTTTTTCTTACGTCTATCATACCTCTTCAGAGGAGTTGTCATCTGTTCCTGGGTTCTCTTTGATTTCCTAAAAATTGGAGGACTATCTGATGGTTTATTCTTCTCCAATCGTTTAGACTTACGAGTACTACTTGGAATCTCTTTTGCCTGTTTACTGGATGCTGTTTCTCTGGATGCCCTTTTTGAGCTAGATGTTTCAGGAGATGCATCTTGTGTTGCCATCTTCTTCTTTGACTTAATTCTTTCATCATTTTTTACCTTTTGACTACGATGGTTGTCGTTTGCCATCCTGGCAGCTGAAATTGAAAAGGTATTAGCTAAAAGGTCAAGCTTGAGATAGGTCTATAGGAGTGTTTGGATGTGCCAAAATCAGATAATGGTTTGATGAAATCATGCAAACTTAGGTATTGAGTATTTATCCTCCATATTCGATTTGTTCCTACCTCCAATCTGATTAATTTGAGTTTTAAAGAATCAGAAAATCATAATCATAGTCCTTTTGGAGCACGTCCAAACACCCCTAAAGTTTACAAACGACAATGTGAGATTCACGCAAGAAAATCCCTAGCATTGTGCCATATGTAGATCATGGCACGGCTCAAATTGCAGAAGATACATTCGAAGACCTAAATTAACAACTTACTCTAATTTCGTGTCATCATACACAATCGGAAAGCAAGTGATCGACACGCATAACTGTATGAACTCCACCTAATTAGCATTAAATCCGCAAATGTATCTGTCAAAACAAAATGAATCATAACTAAAACAACATCTGAAACAATATTAAGCACAAAAACAACAAGGAATAATAAACTACAGATCAGAATTTCAACGACAGACAAACCTGGATTCAATATTAGGGTTTTAGATGATTATGCATGCCATGACTGTTCGTTCAAGTCCGATTAAAGATTTTCTGGCACGCAAACATAAAACAATCTCCAACTGGAGCATCTACACACGCAGTTTTAAGCCTGATTTTCCGGTTCGTAAAGGAAGTACACAAGGGTTGTTTTTCATTGGGGAAGTGGCAAAATTCGTTCCGATACACTGAGGTTCCGTTCAGTTTACTACTATTACTCAAACCAAACCAAACCAACCCAAATAAAATATATGGGTATTTGAGTTATTTGGATTTTATTTTATTTTTGAGTAAATTACATGAATGGTCCCTATGGTTTAGGGTAATTTGTAAGTTTGGTCCCTAACTTATTTTTTAACTCAGAAGGTCCCTACTGTTTGTTTTTGTTACGCACTTGGTCCCTGTCTAACCTAAAAAGACTATTTTTTCTTTGATTTTTTAATTTATTTAAATAAACACACCCCCAACTTCACCCCCTCACCTTACCTTACCTACCCCATCATTTTTCCATATTTAAATAATAGTCTTTTTAGTTAAGAGAGAGACCAAGCGTGTAACAAAAATAAACAGTAGGAACCAAGCGCGTAACAAAAACAAACAGTAAGAACCTTCCGAGTTAAAAAAATAAGTTAAGGACCAAGCGTGCAAATTACCAAACCATAGGGACCATTCGTGTAATTTACTCTTTATTTTATGTATTTTTTTATAAATTCCACAAAAATAATTAACTTTTTATAAAAAATTAATTTGATATTTTGTTTTTTTTTTCTCAAATTGGTCACTACCTTGAGGCCTTCCGGTATGAACCCTTCTTCACGCGTGAAGAGCTGAGTTGGCACAGATTTTCACACTACAAACATATTCTTCCAACACGAATAATTTTGTCTTCAAATTGCCGAGAACGGCAAAGGGTTTCGATGCTATATGGGTCATCGTGGATCGATTAACCAAGAGTGCCCATTTTCTGCCCATTCAGGAGAGCTCATCGGCCGAAAAGCTAGCTGATGTGTACATACACGAGATCGTTGCTCGTCATGGGGTTCCAGTCTCTATTGTTTCAGACTGTGATGTTCGGTTCACCTCCCGTTTCTGGCAGAAGTTCCACGAGGAACTGGGCACACGATTGCACTTTAGTACAACTTATCATCCGCAGACGGACACCCAGAGCGAGCGGACCATTCAGACCTTCGAGGATATGTTGAGGGGTTGCGTCATTGACTTCGGTGGGAGCTGGGACTCCTACCTACCCCTTGCAGAGTTCTCCTACAACAATAATTATCACTCCAGCATTGGTGCTCCACCTTATGAGCTGTTGTATGGACGGAGATGTCGTACCCCAATCTGTTGGAGCGAGGTTGGTCACAGGGTGATGGGACGGACCGAGGTAGTTCTGCAGACTACCGAGATGATTTAGCAGATCAGATAGAGGCTACAGACTGCTCAGAGTCGGCAGAAGAGTCACGCCGACCGGCGCCGATCTGAGTTAGAGTTTTAGGTTGGTGACATGGTACTCCTGAAGGTCTCACCCTGGAAAGGTGTGATTCGCTTCAGGAAGAGGGGGAAGTTGGGTCTCCGATACATTGGGTCATTCAGGATCACTGCCAGGGTTGGCAATGTGGCATATAGACTAGATCTCCCTGAGGAGCTCAGTCAGATTCATAGCACATTCCATGTTTCACAGTTGCGGAAGTGCATACTAGATGAGGAGGCAGTGGTGTCATTAGATGATATTCAGGTCGATGAGCGCCTGAATTACGTGGAGAGGCCAGTGGCCATTCTGGAGAGGAAAGCGAAGGTTCTACGGAACAAGGAGGTACCTTTGGTAAAGGTACAATGGGAGCACCGGAGGGGATCCGAGTGGACTTGGGAGCCAGAAGCAAAGATGTGGGAGCATTATCCAGAGTTGTTCACCGTAGCAGACTTCAAGGACGAAGTATAGTTCAAGTGGGGGAGAATTGTAACATCCCGACTCCTAGGTATAAAATTTAAAGCTTTATTTATTCACATTTTAGACCTACTCGACGAGTTGGCTGCCCCAACTCGTCGTGTAGAGACGGATCAGGCCACATGGTTTATGGAACCTACTCGACGAGTTGGGGGACCCCAACTCGACGAGTAGAGGTCGTACATGAAAACTCTAATTTTTAGGGTTTGCACCCTATTTAAAGAACCTTAAGTCCTCCTTCCAGCCTCCTTACCACCTTTTGACGTCCAGAAGCAAACCTTAATCGATCTAACCCCTATTTTGAGTGTGTGTGAGGCTAAAAGTGTGTTTTGGTGCATTTGTTGAAGAAGCTTGGAATGAGAAGGAGCTTGTAGATCCAGCATCTACATCGTCTTGGCTTTCATTTGAAGGTAAAAAGTCATTACCTTGACTTCTCATTGCTTAGATCTCCCCTTGTGAAAGAAAATGGTCATTTCTAGTGCAAAATGGAGTCACTTTTGTATTTGAGCTTGTCACAAGGGCATACTTGGATAAGGTACTAAAGAGGTTTAGTATGGAAAATTGGACTTAGTCAGAGCACATACTTGGATAAGGTACTAAAGAGGTTTAGTATGGAAAATTCCAAGAAGGGAAAGCTACCTATCCAGAGCAATACCAAATTGAGTAAGACTCAATGCCCGAGTACAGATGAGGAAATAGATGACATGAGTCGTGTACCTTATGCTTCCGCTGTCGGATCGATCATGTACGCTATGACATGTACTCGCCCTGATGTGGCATTTGCTTTGAGCATGGTCAGTCGTTATCAGGGAAACCCATGTATAGCTCATTGGATAGCAGTTAAGAATATACTCAAGTATTTGCGAAGGACAAAGGACTGGGTCCTTGTGCTTGGTGGCAATGATACTTTGAGAGTAGATGGTTACAGTGACGCCAGCTTTCAGACGGATAGAGATAACTTCCGTTCTCAGTCAGGCTGGGTATTTTTACTGAATGGAGGAGCAGTTACTTTCCAAGCAAGATACGGTGGTTGATTCTACTTGTGAATCAGAGTACATAGCAGCGAGTGAAGCGTCGAAAGAAGCAGCTTGGTTGAGGAACTTCATCGGAGATCTCGGAGTTGTTCCAACCATCCAGGAGCCTATGGAACTGTTCTGCGATAATGAAGGAGCGGTTGCCTTGACAAAGGAACCGAAAGATCATGGTAAAACCAAACATATCGACAGAAAGTACCATTTCATCAGACATAGAGTAGAAGAAGGCCATCTTATAGTAAAGAGGGTGTCATCTGAAGATAACCCAGCAGATCCCCTCACAAAGGGTCTGAGTAGGGCTAAGCATATTCAGCATGCTCGGAGCATAGGACTGAAAGATGATATTAGTTTTAGTAGTTAGATTAGTTTTGTTCTGAAACTTGTAACAAAGTAAATGTAATTGACTTTTGGTGATTAAATAATAAAGTATTATTTATAAGTTTGGTTACTGCCTTTTGTCGATTGGTTGTTATTGTGTTTCATATTTTGCATGTTTTACTTCCTGAATAATTTAATTATTCAAACTCCACAGTCGCTCGTACTTTTGGAAGTAAGCAGTGAATTAAGACTGTCATGAACTAGATTGTAGATTGTCTGAGGATAGACATGGCAATAGAATTGCTGCAATGTTCATGAGTACTCAGAAATTGAGATTTGAGTATTGGATAAACCCTCGCTCAGAGTATCACTTCATGGAATTCATCACGAGTAATACTGAGACGATAATATCTTATAATCTTGAAACGAAGATATATGAGTTGTAATTTACAAAGTCGGTTATACATTGGTGATACGAAACCGCATCAGTAACTTGGTGTTATAAAACGTATTGTCATGTATAATTTGATGAGTAAAAGATACAAGCATATGAGCCAACGTTTATTCGTTCCTTTTGCCCTAACCGGAAAAGCGATATATGTGGGCCCCTCGATGATTTGGTGTTGACTTATGTGTTGGGCCCAGCCAGGACTAAATTGATGTGTTCAATTAGAAGTCCTACATCATCACAAATCAGAAATCGGGAAACATAGATTCTGGACAAAGAGATTGATTACATTCCATGTCTTATGTCTAGGGATATCTAGCAGAACGAAGGATTATATGATCACTTATCTTAGGACACGTAACTGACTGGGTCAGAGTTCGGCAGCAGCTTTTGGAAGCTACAATTTGCTGGTCAAATTTAGAAGGCATACTAGCAATTATAGTTACAGACTTATCCAAGTGGGAGACTGTTGGATTAGGTGTCTAAGCCCATAACTATAATTGGTATGTACTTGAATTGATAGCAGCACAGTCCTTTTGGGTTGCCCTCAACCTAGCAACTGGACAAGGAAATTATGAAAGGAGAGATATTAATTTATAAGATTAATAAATTAATATAAATGATTTATTAATATGTTAAAAGATTAATATATTAATTAGAAATCATTATGTTTAATTAATAGTTAGCCAGAAATTAATCAGAATTAATTTTGGGGTTAAAAGTATTAATTATAAAGTGCAGGGACTAGTTTGCAATTATCATATAGTTGACTGGAAGGCTCCAGAACCTCCTTGGAAGGAGGTGGACGAAATCTATAGGGGAAACCCTAAGAATTTCGACCAAGGGGGCTTTGGATAAGGCCCTTGGGTTTGCTTAGGCCTTAAGCAAATGAGCATTAGGGTTTTCCCAAAACCCTAGATCCCTCAGCTATATAAGGAGCCTCCCAGCTCTCAAAATCGGTCACCACTTCTGGGAAGAAACCCTAGGCCGAAATTGCATACTCTCTCTACCCTCTCTCCTCCAAGTTTCCTTCTTGCTAGTTCTTGGGTGTGATTCCATTAGAGGCATTACACTTGTGGTGCTAAGCTTCCAAGAAGATCAAGATCAAGATCAAGGGAATTATCAATTGTTTGCTATAACAATTGAAAGGTATGTAACTCCTAAACCCTAGTTTACTATTTTCGAAAATAGCCTCCTCCTCTAGGGTTCTTGTTTTGCAATTCAAAGTTGTATGTTCAATAGTTAAAACATAGATCCAAAGTAGGTTGCATGTGAACTTAGGAATTGTTTTCTGGTTTATTTGTTTTACCTTAAACCCATCAGTTATTGTATATGTGTTATATGTTGTGCGGGTATTTTGGGGGAACTCACTAAGCTTCGGGCTTACAGTTGTTGATTTTGTTTCAGGTACTTCAGATGATCGCGGGAAGGCGAAGGCATGATCGTGCACCTCCTTATGTTTTTATG